GCCATGGGCCTGCGGGGCGGCCCTGCCTGCAGCGGAGCACGGAGCAGCAGCCATTTGCTCCCTGCTCCAGCAGGTGAGGCCAAAGGGTCTGCCTCAGTTTCCCCACCCGTACAAGGGATAATACTTCATTACGCCGCAGCAACGCCCAGCCACAGCCTTGTGAAGGGTAAAGCTCTGGATCCATCCTGATGAGTAGGGCTTTGTCTGGCTGGAACAGAGGGCTGATTTTCTTCCCCTGAGCTCTGCTAGTTCCAGCTCTGCTGCTTTGGCTGCACACCCGCCCCCCTCTTCTCATCCGGTCACGTTACCTCCTAGCTTCTTGCGGACAAAAACACCATTGTCAACGCGCTCAACGTGTCCCATGGCATCCGCCTGCTGAAGATTGATAAGCGAGGGAGCGACATCCTCTGCAGCACCTACAGCTGGCAGGCCTCCGTCACAGAGAAGGTAAGAGACCCTCGTGCTCAGGGGGACAGGCACAGACAGGTCTGGCTCACGTCGGGGGGGTCACTGCTAGGAAAGATGCTCCCTAACCAGGGACCCTGGCAAGCCTGTGGATTCATTGCTTGGTTTCAATCTGTTCAGGCTTTCCAAAATGAGATCGTCAGAAACCGCGACCGCGTCAAAGAGATCGTTCAGTACATCGATAGTCTCCAGGAGGAGCTGGATAACCTGGAGCCGATGGAATAGGTCTGTCACAAGCTGCACAGCTGCCTTAGCTGGGGGCACACCAGTGGCAGTACAGCCAGCAGAGATGGCTGCCTCCCTGTGCCTGAGCTGCCTGGGACATTTCAGGCCAAAGGCATACTTCTTCCATCATAAACTGCAAATAAAAGATACTTTTTGACTCTGGAAAAGCGTACGAAGCTCTGTCTCTTCCATCACGTTGGTGTGAAGCCTGTGCAGAGCTCAGACCTGGTCACGAGAGGTTATGGATCTGCTGTGAGCTGATTGAACCAAATCATCGCAGCACATCACGCCTGAAAGCTTTGGTACCTGCAAGCGCAGCGGCAGGACCAGCAGCCTGGGAGAGGAGCGCTCTCCATCAAACCACCCCCAGGATAACAGCAGGTTTCCAGCTCAGCAAGCACAAGGCTGGCAGGGCCTCTGCGTGCCTGGGAGCCTTGTCTTCTCACCGCCTCTCGCCAAAGCAGCTTTCTGCAGCGTGAACAGAGCAGCCCCCAGCTAGCAGGAAGGGAAATCAATGGTTCCACAGGAGCTCACACACCACCGCTCACAACAGCCAAGCAAGGAATCATTAATTCCCCTCCTTGCTCAGTGACAGCAGCTGCTAAGCTCACTTGTGGGCAGCTTCTGAGGAATGATGCTGGTCAGGGTGGTGCTGCTCCAGGCAAGCAGCAAGGAGAAAGGTGGGAAGGTTAAATGAGCGGGTGGCTGCATACACACTCTTGAGGAGAGACCAGGTCTCTCAGAAAGCCCCGTGGCTGGTGGTGCCTGTCGTACACAGATTTACCTTGTAGTGCCCTGTGCTTTTGATGGCAGGAGCCCAGGTTCCCCCTGCCCTCGCTCCAGGACTGCAGTCATCTCCCTGCTACTCCTTGGCTGCAAGGACAGGGCACCGAGCAAGGAGAGGCTCACACAGAGATGCGGAGGGAGCAGATCTGTTTGGTAGCGAGTGTCTGCTCAGCTCTGCTCTGTGTATTTTTCTGTCTGCAGCCATCCCAGCACCTGCCTGGCAGCTCCTGACCTACACCACGGTTTGGTGATTAAAACAAAGAAATACTCAGCAGCATTGGCTTTCGGTATCTAGCAAGGGCGTGCCTTTAATCAAACAGAGAGACCCTGGTGTTACATACAGGCACGCTGAGGGATGAAGAACAGATGCAATGGAGTCTGTTGTCAGATTTCCATAACAAGTGTGTGTCAGGAGCTGGCAGCTCTGAAGACGTGTGGCATATGCTGGGTATGTCTGTGCTGTGCCCTGCCCAGGAAGCTGTTTCTTTCATGGGAGCTCCTCTGATGAGTTCCAGACACCGGTAATGGACACAGCTGCTGTCTTGGGGATGCAGAGGAAATTCACCTTCACCTTTCCTCCTTGCAGGCTCAAAACTGCTGGCACTGTGCTGCAGCAAGCAGTCCAAGCAAGGAGTTGCCCACAAAGTCGCAGCTCCTCAATACAAGGCTGGTCCCATGGAAAGTGTGGTGGCAGGAAGGTGGTCACCGTCCCCTGGGTCACCCCAGCGATTCACAGCTGGGCATTTTCCTCCTGCGCCCAGCCCAGCAGCCTCAGTCCTGCAACAGTTTGTGTTTTACAGTCGAGCTCTCTGAGCAGAGGTGAACAAAGAGAGTCCCAGCCGCCGCGCGAGCACGCAGCTCGCACAGATCATAGTCATGGGCCCACTCCACGTTGCCCCACCGCTGAATCTGAAGGAGAAGAGGAACTCGAGTCAGTTCAGAACTGGATTACATGTGTAGCTGCTCAGCAACTCTCAGCCTCCCTCTTCATGTTTGTGAAACACAGGTAACCCCCCAGGAGCTGTGCCAATCACTGACTATAGGGGTAGGGAACTCTCAGATGAGTGTGGTTGAAGGACATGCTTCATCTGTACAGGTGTCTGCAGCAAAGCCCATTAAAGGGAGGATTAAAAGATTCCCTTCAACTTCACTTTTGGGTCAGGGAGAGCTTCACCCCAGGCTGGTTTCCAACAACCGAGTTATTAGCTTGGTGTCTACCAAGGCCTCCAGACTGCATAACCCAGAGCAAAAGAAGGCAGCCACAACTTTGCATTTCAGATTAGAGAGGCAGAAAAGCAGCCATCTGGGTTCTGCAAAAAGAAACTGGCAGCCCCAGGAGCACTCTGGGCTGTTGTGCCCGGGATGTTGCTCTACAGCAGCGCACGCCAAACTCTCAAACAGGGAGACTGGTGGAGTGAAACCTCTCCTGCAATAGCAGGCACTTCCCTTGCCAGTTATTTGCGATGGGAGATGCATTTGTCATGCTGAGATTATTGGTATTTGAATGATAGGGCTGTTTTGTAACATCATTTACCTGGTATTCTTCCTCCAGGCGAGACAGAAGCACGGCTTTCTCTACTGTAATGTGCCTGTCAATCAGACCCATGGACAGAATCAGAGATTTCAGCTGGGTGATTACATATTCTATACCTGGAAGACAATAACCCAAAACAAACACGATTCCTGGTTGTTTTCTGCAGCGTTACAGCAACATCTTCACATGCTCTGACGAGACAGTCGGGGTGTGGTACCTCCTCAGGGATAGAGACACCTCTCACTTACATCTGGGCACTTCAGCGTCAGATCTGCAATTAACAGCAGACACAAAACACTGTTCCAGCCGCTGTCACCGCAGTGACAAAGGCCATGCCCTGGAAACCACCTCCTTTTATTCTGCCACAAACCTGCCCCGTGCAAAGGGAGGGGATAATACCCATCCAGGCCCGACTATTCTGGAGCTCAGCTGAAAGTCCAGGGTGAGAGGGACTCGTATACGATTTGGTGCTAAAAGAGCTGCCCACATCTATAACCACTCATCGAAAAACACTGTGCAAATGTATGCTGTGTCCTGGGAGAACTGTGTCAGCAAAGGGCACAGCTGCTGGGCTCAGCTGATGAAACAGCAGAGCTCTTCCCTGCCACACCACCAGATACAGCCTGCAAGATGCCTCTCTTCAGGGGAGGAGAGCCAGGACCTGCTGGCTGAGGGACTGGAGCGAATCCCACAGACACACACAGCCAGGAGGAGGAGGAAAGAAGGGCTCAAAACTCTGAGCTGCTGAGCACTCGTGGTTCAGCTCAGGCTGACAGGAACTGGAGGTGCCCACACATGGACAGGGTCTAAGGCAGGAACTGAATTCAGACTCGTCCTGCGCTACCAGTCTAGGCCAGACCTTGAATTTCAGGTCTAAAGTCACCCAGCTGCCCAGGGGCTCCCCTTCCTCACAGGAGGCGCACGCTTTTCACAGAATCACAGAATCACAGGACGTTAGGGATTGGAAGGGACCTCAAAAGCTCATCCAGTCCAACCCCCCTGCCGGAGCAGGAACACCCAGATGAGGTTACACAGGAAGGCGTCCAGGCGGGTTTTGAATGTCTGCAGAGAAGGAGACTCCACAACCTCTCTGGGCAGCCTGGGCCAGGGCTCTGTCACCCTCACTGAGAAGAAGTTTCTTCTCCAATTTCAGTGGAACCTCCTGTGTTCCAGTTTGTGTCCGTTACCCCTTGTCCTATCATTGTTTGTCACCGAGAAGAGCCTGGCTCCATCCTCGTGACACTCACCCTTTAAATATTTCTAAACATGAATGAGGTCTCCCCTCAGTCTCCTCTTCTGCAAACTAAAGAGACCCAGCTTCCTCACCCTTTTCCCTTCCACCCTGCCTACCCATACTGCAAACTGTGAAAAAGAGAAATGATTTATCAAAAAGTATCTTTACAGAGGTAAGGGGAAGGCTTTGCAAGCCCTGTCCCAAGAATCCTGTCCCAGATCCCCTTCCTTAGCTGCTCAGCTGGTGTCTTCTGTGGTTTCACTGTCAGCTGCTCATTCAAGTCTTGCATTTGAGGACTCGAGCAAAGCAAACATTACTTAATTTCTTTATCTTTAGGTGTCATTCAGCAGCATCAGGCAAGATCAAGTGGGCTATAAGGGTGAAAGAGCGAGGACAGCGCACAGAGCCATGGACACTTGGAGTATGAAACCCCATTTCTTTTCCTGGTAACAAACCTGGGGACTACATCACTAGAAAGTTTGGCACTAAGTAAGTTATTTGTGCTAGGATAGAGCAGGCCAGCACAGTCAGACCCTAAACATCAGCTAAGGGACTGGCTTGGAGTTTTAAAACATGAACCTCAACACTGATTATCTCAGTGTATCAGGAGAGGGAACACATTACAGTTGCTCTTCTGCCCTGTGGGAGGAACCACCTCCTCTGCTGGCACAGCCAGAGCAAAGGGCTCCCTGGCACAGCCCCTCTCACCTTGCAGGGCCCACATGTTGTAGGACGCCAGATGGCTGACGAAGGTCTCCTTGGTGCTGGCGGGGATGTTCGGCCCCAGGATGCTGGTGGAGGAGCCAATTGCCACATTGTACCTGGAATGATCGCCCAGCCCCTTAGAAAAGCACAGGGCTCCTGGACCTTGCCGCTCTGACAACCACAAGCACAAGAGCTCCTGGCATAACCAGACAAACATCTTTGACCTCTTACCTTTCCTCAGCCCAGGCAACAACAGGATCCCATTCATTCCTCTGCAGCTCTGCCAAGGCGGGCGGCTCCTCCACACGATAGCTGGGAGATTGCAGAACAAAACCACACTGGATGCTCACTCCCAGGCTGCCAGACTGCTCCCTGCCAGGCTGGGGCACACCTCTGGGGAGGAAATTGCCCCACCAGGCCACACAGCAAGGGGAACAAGGGCCTACTGTCCACCCAGCCAGCAGCAGCAACTGGGAACAATCCCCCCACTCTTCCTCAGAGCTTTTTATTGTGCCAGGAAGGACAATTCTACCTTACTACAAAACAGAGCAGCAAAACAGCCAACTGAAAATAGCAGGTAGCCCCAAGCCAGCCCCAGGGAACTGGGCTGACAGATTTCACAGCTGTTAGCCTTTCCCCAAGGAAATCTTCATTTCCTGCTGTTTCTACCCTTGCCCAGCACAGAGATGTCCAAACAGAAGTCCAACAGAGGACCAGATCTCCCTGTTCTCCCTTGTACCA